GCGGTTGAAAACATGTTATGTTAATGCTGTATGCCACCATCTGGCCCCTTGTCTTGCTCTGGTTATATAAACACAGCAGTCTGCATGGTCAGTAAGTTTCTGAGTTCTACATTAGGTTAACAGTCTGCTGCTTCGGGTGTTCCCCCACCGATGCCCTTCCTCTCTCCGCATTGAGCTGATGTACAATTCCTTATGCAATGCATTATTCATCCTTTACCGTTGAGTTATTAGCTGATAGGAATTAGATGAGGCATTACAGGAGAATTATACAAATTGTGCTGCTAAGAAAATTAGTGCAGCTCAGTGCTATGCTCTCTGACTGAAAGATCATAAGTTCAAATCCTGAACCTGCCAAAAACCCTTGATGCATTATTAAAGACTAATTATATCAACATTATTTAATGGATCCTATTATGAAATTGAGTGTTGGAGCAAACATGATTATACCTTTCAAAAATAGGGGATTGGCGTGTGGGATAGAATTCATTTTATATTGTTTGGGATATCATATGGTACACTCTCATTGAGATGACACACTGCATTTGCTGTACATTTTTCTCTTCCTATGCCCTTAAAAATGAACCATAATTTATCGAAATGCCTCATTTACATGTTTCAATCTTTTGCCTCCCTCAAAATTAGGTCATAAAAGGATATTAAGATAAGTTGTGAAGTTTGTTGACAGAGTTATAACCCTCCATTTCAGCCTCAAAATGCATCAAAAAGGATTCTTTTTTTGTGTGTTCTTCCACCGTTCCTGCTGGGAAATATGCCACAGCTGACGTTGCAAAATAAAATCTATTCCAATTTTATCCTGTTTCTAGGCTAATGGACATGGAGTTACAAATATCTGATTGCGTTTCTGTGTGTAGGTACACCTGAAGGGAACAAAATGCAACTTGGTGCGCCATCAGTGTACCTTAACAATAAAATGCATTAAATTGGAACATCACATTGTCCCTCATTCTGCGAGGGAATACACAGTACAGACTCTGATTGAACTCCAAGGTGGTCATATGCCGAGTTAATGACCCACTGACTTTTACCGTGTATTTTAATGTGCCTGTGCTCGCCTGGCTCTCCATCATTAGCGCTGCATGTTATTAATGTGTCCTTGATATGAGTGGGTCACAATAATTTGCCACGTTTCTGTGATTGCATTTTCACCACATAAAGTTTGTGTCTCCATTTAGCAGTTTCATTGCCTTAATTTATTCTGCAGCCACTCTGTTCGGGCTCCTCCTGTCTCCACCCAGCCTCCTGGTATTTATGTTCTTCCTCCCCCGGGGAGTGATACTCTCTGACATTGCTCCTCCCTCCTGGCCAGATGTTGAAATTTAAACAGGCCATTCATCAGCCAGCAGATACATGAGTAGCAGCAGAGACGGGGGCAATGACCCTGCAAAGACGTTGTTAATATGCAGGTTTACATGCCTGTGCTGAAAGCGTTCTGTTCTAAAGACACGTATGGGGCAGGAATGGACGCTCGGTTCAGCTGAAACTCGCAGAACTGAGCGTCAGGCTGATGATTAAAATGTTTAATTTTCTCTGTGTCCAATCTTCACATTGAATTACTGTGGTTACTTAAGAGCCAGATGAGATCTTGGATTTCACTCAAGATTTTCTGGTTGCATAAAATCAAGTAGATTTAGTTTTAAATTACAGCAAAATGTCTTTCTTGATTCTTTATACAACCTTGGTACCACATTCATAAAGTTATATTCCTAAGGGAGAAAAATCCATAACATTTTTGGATATGGCTACCAGTGGGAGCAGAAGTGAACATTTTGTCCTTCATGACCTGTAATAGGACATTATCCCCTGAAGCTGAGTGGTATTTCCCTACCAGCTGTTCAGTGTTGTCTCAATCTTTCCACTGCTTCTCTTCGCCGCTTTTCCTGGGAACTTCTTCCTGCCTTTAGTGACTGAGAGCTGTCTCCTTTAATGTAAGCCGTATCTGTTTATTGGTAACAGAGTTAACATTGCCTGAGTAATGGATTTGTTTCACTCTAGAGGATTGACGGTCATCTGTAAATAAGTGTGACAGATGGATTTTCGGTAGAGATCGACTGGAGAGGTGTGTGAGAGCCCAGACAGGAGATCCATTTAAACTGAGTATGCAGCAAATGCAGAACCCACAGAACTGCCACCCACACATTCAGAGTGTTTGAATCCCTTATGTCTCATGTTCTTATCACTATAAGCAAGCAAATCTTCAGCTTCTCCCATAAGGTGACTGTGAGGCAAAATGGTAACCAAAGTATTCATACCCACTGAATCATTCCACATTCTTCTATGTTGCAACCACAAATTGTCATGTAATTTATTATAAATGCAACGTGGGAATGGTTTCAAACATTTATAGATACAAAAATTAGAATATTGTGGCAAGCCCTCTTGTTCAGCCCCCTTTACTCTGATGCCCATGAATAAAATGCAGTTAAATACAACACTAATAGATTGCTCACCAGAAGAAGAAGGCAAGGAAACTCAAAACTTATGAAACTCTTAAAAAAAAAAAGGAATCCCAAAACACTGAGGAGACAGTCTGAAACCTAAGCAGCTGCAGAAAACAATATCTTACGTTGGGTGTGTAGCTCCGACATGTTCCTTTGGTTAAAGTTCATAAGAGGCTGTAAAAAAGACATGACATAACATGACCATCAGATTATTAGTCATAATATAATTGAAAAAATTTGACTGCACAGTGATTACAGAAAATCATTTTGTTCGCTTCACTAGTGGGCAAATTTGTTTTTGTTTTACATGATTTCAACATTTTCAAAGTCAAAATCACTTAACTTTTAAAATGAATTTAAGCATTGTCTGTTGAAAGGTAAGGAGTCTGAAGCGAATCAGTGCAGTTCTGTGCCTTACCTCTGGAGGCGATGTGTCACAGTGAAGAAAGCAGGCAAATAGCTGCCATTGCTCCTATTTTTATTGCTGTCTTTCTTTGTTAATTACAATGATAACAAATACAAGATAATCCTGAAAGGAAACTTTTAGAAGCTGGTGAAGTCTTAAGACGCGTGCGAAGGTTCATGTTTCAGCAGGACAATGACCCTTAACATGCAACCAGAGCTTGTATCAAAGCAACTGTCTGTTGAAACGCCTGTCATTAAATATCTTGAAGTCTTTGGTTCTAATATCACAAAGTTTGGAAAGTTCAAGGAATATAAATAATTCTGCAAGTTTCAGTAAAGCTTTAAGTAAAACTAAATAAATATGAACACACGAGAATATATTTGTTGACAGCAGCTTGAAAGTTTGATAACATTTGAAATAGAAACTTAATAGTTTGCAGCTTCATTTCTTGTTTTATTTTCTTTCTGCAACTTATCTGTTAGTCAGTCTTGCTTCTGGCTGATTGAAGTCATGAAAAGTAAAGACGGACGCCACCGTCTCATTTGGGCTGTTGCTACATGTAAACTGCATTAATTTGGCTATTTTTAGAGCTCTGCTGAAGCTGCAGGAGACTGGATCTCCTGCTCAGTTGTGCCACAGAGGGAAAATAAATTTGAGCACAAAGAAATGTAATAAATTTTTCATGAATGTAAACAGAATCTTTCCAGGATTCTGCTCTGCTCTGACAGGAAAAAGTGAGACGTTAAACAGAAAACACAATTTAACTAGAAAAATAGGGAATTAGGAAAGTTCACTTTATTTATTGTCTGCTCATTGTCTTATGTTTGTATTTTGGGCAGTGTGAAAAATATTAGTTTATACTTTATGCTAAAACATCTTTTAGCCTTTGCACAGTTTACAGTTGAATGAACAAGAAATTTTGGTTTTATGAAAGTGAAATTTCTGTATACAATAGATTATTCGAATTTCAGCGTGTTTTTAAATACCCACACTGCCAACTTTATCCAAAAATGTTTAAGAGAGTCAATAAGGCCTGTTCCTTACTGACCTGAGTCATGATCTTTTTAATGGATTTCTGCTTATAAAAGATAAATTATTGCTGTGCTGGAACTTATATTTTTCTAAGAGGCCTCATATGTAAGTGATTCCCAAATTTGGTCCTGAAATCCTGCCGTCCTTCATGTTTTAGCTGTTTCCCCGTGGCCACACACCTCATTTAAATAAACGGGCCATTAACGGTCTGCTGTAGAACTTCATTGCATGGAGAGGGGGAAGAACAGTTATTAGAATCGGGTGTGCTGGAGCGAAGAAACATCTAAAACATCCCAGATAATGGACCATGAGGACCAGGATTTAGGACCTCCTAAAAGAATAACTTCTTTCTGCCCATTTTATAGTTGCTGGTTATTTTATTCTTTTGTACAGTTTCGGTCCTTTTGAGCCTGACTTCAAGGTTTCATAAAGGAAGATTTCTTGAGATGTTTTGTGTTGACAATAGCTGTTTTTTTATTCATTACAAATGTGTCCAAAGCCGTGTCGATATTCTGGAAAAAAACACAAATTTGCAATTGTGTTGTTTCCATCTAATAAGAAACACAATTAAAATCACACAGTATTGAGTTTGTTCACGCAATAATTCACTAGAAAACACGCCACGCCATCATCATCCTATCTCTTTTTGTTGTTTTATTTATCTTTTCTGCCTGTAGTAACATCTGGTTTTTGATCATGTGACTGGTGTGATGCAAAATAACTGTTTTCATTGCGGTTTTTAGAAATACACTAATTTCATTACAGACTCGGATCAATTTACATTTATTTATATAGAACATTTCAGCAAAAAAAAAAAAAAAAAAAAAAAAAAAAAAAAAAAAAAAAAAAAAACAATTATTAACCAAAAGCAGCTTTTAACAAATGGGTTTTTAGTTTTGATTTAAAGGAACATGCATTTTCAGCAGTTTTGTTTTCTGAAGATTTTTTTCGGATTAGTGGAGCTAAAAATAAAACGGAATGCTCTCTCTTCATATTTAGTTCTGATTCTGGAAATGCAGAGTCGACTAGAACCAGTAGATTGGACTAAGCCTTTTGCAATAAGTAATTAATAAATTATTATTTTCTTCTTGTCTGTCTTTCAGGACTCAACGCTCTGCCCTTTGATCCAGCAACCAACAACGATCCTCTTCAGTTCAACGGTTCTAGTGGTCCACTTGGGACTGAGTGCGCTCCCTTGGATAACACTGCTGAAAACGGCAAAAAGAGAAAGAGAGCCAGCCTCCCTCCAGGTACCGACTACTCCCTCTCAAGTATTCCTCTACAGCAGCAGGATTACAGCATGATCTTAAATCCTCATCATTTTGTCCTAAGCCATGTCGAATTTCAACCCAAGTGTCTAAAAGCTCATCTGGAGGACTTTTCTGTTCACTCACGAGAGCTTTTTACCTCAGCTAGCTTTCATACCTTGCTATTTTGTACCTTCTTTTCTACAAACATTCAATAGCTTAAATGAGAATTGTGGCATAATCCTATTATTGGGTGGCAGTATGGACAAAAAGTGGCTTATTTTTTAGTCTGCTTTTTCCTATTACCTTGCCATGTCCTGAGGCTCCAGTTGTCTGGCCTGTTTAGGGGTCATGCAGCTGCTGCAGGAAAACTGCTCCTTTGAGATTATGTGTGTGTACGCGGGTATTTTTGTCTGGATGTCTGTTACCGTGACAACTCTACCTGGCAATCACAAGCTCCTGCACGCCTTCAGTTCTCCCACACAAAACACTCGACTCGTCACCCAGGGAGTGGCGCACCGAGAAGATGTATGTGTCCGTGTGTTTATGCGAGTTCGCTATAATTAAACAGTCATTTGAGTAAGTGGCTGGTCGCATGGTAATGTGTCAAATTAAAGAAGGACTTTCTAATTAAAGAATTAAAGAAGTTCTGACTAATTAATTGCTTCATAAGTAGACAGAAGAAAGCCCCTCAGACAGGGAGGTGGCTTGCCATGTTCTCTGCTTCTGGTCTGGCTTAATAACGTACAATAAAAAATGAAAATAAAAATAATAACTTTTTATCATTTCTTTTCATCTTTACTTGGATAAGTTCATAAATTGATGACTATTTGGTTTTAATTCACTAATACAGGTTTAATGTAACTATTTATCATGGCTGATTGTCAAACTAGTAATTACAGTTGGAACAAATGATGCTCATGTGTACCGCAGCTTTTCTGTGTATGCGCTGTTTGTTAGGAATATGACTTTTTTTTTTTCATTAGAAATATGCCATGCCCATCAAACGTATCATAGTTAGTTATGTTGCAGCCACAGACGTCAGTGTCTTCATCTGGATTTTATTGCATAACTGTGAAGTGAAATGAAAAAAGATTTTTTCAAATACAAATATGTGAATGATGGCATTTGTTTGCATTTGTTTTTAACATTTGAGGCAATGTAGCAATGGCTCCTCTTTAGAGTTAAAGTTGTATGTTTCAGCCAGTTCTAGTACATTTGTAGACCAAGAGTGCTTGAGTTTCATCAGATTGTGTCTGTATGTTTGGGGTCTTTGTCCTGCTGGAAGGCGAACCTTCACAGCTGTCTCAACTCTTTTGTAGCCTCTAACAGGGTTTCTACCAGGATTACCTGTCTTTAGCGCCATCCGTCTTCCCAACAACTCTGTCCACTTTCCCTGTTCCTGCTGATAACAAAATGCTTGCTGTCCCCCCTGCAAATGGCTCCTATCAAAGGACAAACAGGATTTTTTTTGTGGCTTTCTTGCAATAGTAGTTTTCTTGTTTTCAATCTTGTTTAAAGGTCAGATTTGTGGAGTGCAAGACTAAAAGACGGCAGATTGCCCCACCAGAGCTTCGGATCGCTGCAGCTCCTACAAGGTTACCATGGTGAATCTTGTCTGCTTCTCTGGATAATGTTCTCCTTGCTTGGTCTGTCACAGCTTGAGACATTGTTTCGCTACTCACCCTTCCTTAACCTCTCCAAAACATTACCTTTGACTTGTTTGCCGTGTTCATTGACCTTTATGGTGCTGTTTGTTCATTAATATTCTCTATACAACCTCTGAGTCCCCCACAGAAGAGATGTATTCATAATGGGACTAAATTACACACAATTAAACTCTGTATTAATAATTACGTGACTTCTAAAACCAAGTAGAGAAGTTCTTCCAGAGGAAACAGGATTGAATACTTTTGCAAGACTTTTTAACTAAATGGCAAAGAAAAGATTAGATGTAGGACAATAGATTATGATGGACATAAATTAAATGTCTGATCATAAGATTGTTTTTTTTTTATAAAATGACTCAGTCTTATAAAAAAAAACATGTATTTGATGAGCTTCATGGAAAATAACTTGAAGTGCCTGCTGTGTTTCATAAAAAAGAAAACATAATTGTAACCACTATAGATACATTTTGTGAAGAGACAGATCAGTTTAAGTGTAGGGAATTATGGTCTCCATTCAATGCTGTGATTTATATATGAGGAATTGCCCTCTGTGGCTCTGACAGCCTGCTATCACATCATTAGTCTGACTCTAAATGACTCTGTCAGTGCCACCAGTGCAGGATTTTCTCTGCCATTGTTGTTGCTGAAATTGAGAATATTTTTGCTTTCTTCTGCTGTGATGGGGTACCGTGTGACGCCTGTGAGAATATCCAAAATGCTAATAAGACTGTAAACCAGTTTGTAGAATTCCCACCTTTAGATTGGAGATTAAACTGTACCAGAGGACGCATGTAACCAGCCAAACACAGTGTAGTCCTTCAGAAAGTAACACTTTGGAGTTATTGACCATCACAGCCATGCTTTTCTAATTTTGTGTCTTTTAAAAGCAGTGTATAGACAATATCAGTTTTAGGCTCATTTTTGACCAGAGTAAAGGAGCTCCTAATCACATTCTGCTGCGAGGAAAACCTGAGGCTGACCTAGAATGCTGTTAAGAAAATGGACGTTTGTTCCCCTCCTGGGATGGATGGATGGATGGATGGATGGATGGATGGATGGACGGACGGAGAAAAAAAGGGACAGATGGATGGAAGGGATGCAGAGCTACAACTATCCATCATTGTAGTTATTGATTATTCAGATGGTTAATCAATTAATCAGATATAATCACATTCTGCATATTTCTCATTTTACCACGTCTTTTTTGACAATATTAGAAATACATTAAAAAATACATTAAAAAATACAAGTAAATAAATGATTCAATTCACATTTAAAATAAGAAAATAAGCTTGCCTAAAATGCCACAACAGCATTCTGATTGTAAACACCTGGTTATTTGCAGATTAATCCATTTTTGGATTAAGTGATTAACAATTAGAATGCAAAGGTGCTTAATCTGAAATTGTCTTTGTACAGAATCTGAACCAGGTGAAGTTAAAAGTGCCACTTGAGGAGTTGTGGGTCGAATAGATCTAAAAAAAAGTTTTATTTTTCAAAATGTTCATTTTTTTGTACAGTTTTATCTTTATTGCTGTACTTCAGTTAACAATTAATCAATTATTAAATTGGTTGGTGATTATTTCAGTGATTGATTCATCATGATAAATCTGATTAATTATTCAAGCCATACTGGAATAAAAAAATGGATACGAAGATAAATGGGTGGATGGTGTTAAAATGGGACTGATGCATGGATTGATAGATGCATGGATGAATAGATAGATTCGGTTCTCTAGTTCTGTCTCTATTTTTACCAGGTCAGTGGTCAATTGCATGAATAAGAGACAATTATTGTAATTATTTCCTCTTTCACAGTGAAGATGTAGAGGTCAATCAGGAATGTCAGATCTTTGCTAGAGTTGTGTTAGACAGCAATTTATTTCTGCTTCCTTTAATTTTCTCATTTTGATGTAATTATTGTGTTAAAAGGTCAGAAGCAGTTTAACAAAACAATACTTGCAGCGCCCAAGCCTGTGGTGTCATATTTATTATTATAGTCCTCTTTACGAATTTCTGCTTAAATGGCAGTCTGTGACATATATGTGACGTCTCTGTGGTGAAGTTCAATTACAGATTTCTTTGACTTGACCTGCCATAATCAGAGGGTTTGTTGACGCTTCCTTGAAACCTTTGAAGAACTGCAAGGTTAGTTGAGGTCTAAAGCAAATCAATGTGAGGACTTTACTCTCTTACACTTTTAGATTCTGTCGAGCTCCTGATTGTCTTTGGTCTTGGTCAGGTTCTTCAACCTCTCAATGAGGCACCAATTCATTAACAACCTGATTGACTAAGTGCCATTAAGGAACAGTTATAGATTGTTTTAGTTTTTCTCTCTTCTCTCTTTGCTGCATCTATTAATCTTTTGTGCATATTTACAGCCACTGAGAGTCCATTTTCTCCAAGTAACTCATTTAAGAGATTTAAAAAACAAACTAATATGAACTTCAAAAGTTGAATTTCATCCTTTTTGCCTGGTTATTTATAGATGTCCACCAATGTCTTTACTGACAAAGCAGCATAAAGCTGGAAGCAAAGTTTACACACAAGTTTTACCTTTTTTTTTTTTTTTAAGAAAATAGCTTTATTGTCAAAATAAACCTTTTATGCATTTATGTAGTTTGCAACAAGGAAACAAGACAAACATGTAGCCTCTGGGTAAAATTTACTCACAGAATCTTGTTCTCGCAAGACAAAGTGGCTAGATTAATTATAATCATGTGTTAAAAATTAAGCAGTAAAGTTGAGACCAAATTGTATGGAAAGTTTTTTGGCAAGACTTGAAAATATGTGTGTGTGGCAATTCTCCATCTTATGTGACAGAGGTTCTGAGTTTTACAAAGAAGTGACAGATTTGAGTCCCTGGAGGTGCAAAGCTGATAGAAACGCACTTCAAAAGACTTCCAGCTTGAGGAATCATGTAGACCATGAGTTATTCTCCTCTAACTTCACAAATATGCACTACTATGGGCTTGTATTTCACATAAAGAATGAAAAAAAATATAAAATACACAAAAGTTTTTGGATCTGATATGACAAAATCAAAAAGCTCACTGGGTATAATCATTTTTGTTCGACACTCTATGAAATGATGAGCTGTCACCTGCTGTAAACTAACAAAACGGCTCAAACGTTTGAAGCAGAGTTCATTCTGTTCACCGAGCCTTAAATAGACACTCACTCGACACTCTGTAACTAATTATACTTTAAGTTCAGGGTAAAAAAAAATGTTCCTGAGAATTTAAGTGATTGCAAGACTGGAAGGGCTGTGCTTAACTGTCTCAGTCCTTTAATTCATGAATATTAACACTTTCTTTTAATCAAGCGTTACGT